GCCATAGGACTCACCCGAGATACAGGCCAGTGCAAGCTGCCAACAGAGACCAGTTAGATGTTCATAGTAAAAATGCAGTGTAAATAAAGCTGCTTTCATTTTGAAGGACCTCACAGGAACATGGGAAATGGAAGGGACAGTTGGGATGATCAAGTCTAGTCTCATGCTACTTTAGGTAACCAACTAACATAATCCATTTGATAAGATGGTCAAGCTCCTTGTTACAAACGAGGTGTTTTCACTTCCTGGTGCTTATTGGCAGCCATTTCAGAATCTCACTGCCCTGATGGCTACAAATGTCTCTAAGAATTCTATCTTACAGGTATTCCTGACCGATTTATTCTAATTTGTTCTTATGTCAGTACTGCCTCTTAGCATCAATAACTCTTTTCACTTTGGGGCATTTAAATGTTATGCTTAATGACAGCAATCATCTTGAGACTTTTTTTGCTAGACTAAATCCATGCATTTCATGCATGTTTCTAGCAGTAGTGCAGGCTTAGGTGGCTATTGACACTTCTGATCCTTTGTTTAGGACAGCACAACTCTTTTGAAGTCACAGATCAAATAGATGATGGAACTGATAAACTGATAAAAAGCTGTTCGTGTCATGTGTGTCATCTGTCCCTGTCCCCCTGCATTTCACAGAATCACAGAATGGCAGGGGTTGGAAGGGACCTCAGGAGATCGTCCAGCCCAACCCTCCTGCTAAAGCAGCTTCACCTAGGGCATGTTACACAGGACATCGTCCAGGCGGGCTTTGAATATCTCCAGAGAAGGAGACTCCACAGACCCCCTGAGCAGCCTGTTCCAGTGCTCTGCCACCCTCAAAGCAAAGAAGTTTTTCCTCATATTCAACTGAAACCTCTTACATTTCAGTTTGTGCCCATTGCCCCTTGTCCTGTCGCTGAGCACCACTGCAAAGAGTCTGGCTCCATCCTCATGACGTCCACCCTTGGGATATTTGTATGTGTTGATGAGGTCCCCTCTCAGTCTTCTCTTCTTCAGGCTGAACAAGCCCAGCTCTCTCAGCCTTTCCTCATAGGGGAGATGCTCCAGTCCCCTTATCATCCTTGTTGCCCTCCTCTGAACTCTTTCTGGGAGTTCCTCATCTTTCTTGAATCGGGGAGCCCAGCACTGGACCCAGTACTCCAGGTGGGGTCTCACCAGGGCAGAGTAGAGGGGGAGGAGAACCTCCGTCCACCTGCTGGCCACGCTCCTCTTAATGCGCCCCAGGATGCCATTGGCCTTCTTGGCAACAAGGGCACACTGCTGGCTCCTTTTTTTGGTCCACTTCATTTTTCACCTGTATGCTGCCCTGACTCTTTTTGAAGTATGACCCTGCCAACAGTTATGCTGCTGTCATTGGTGGGGTGGTGCACAGGGACAGGAAAGAGCAGCAGAGGGAGGAGTGGGAAAGAAGAATAGCATCTTAAGGCAATACTGCTGCTGGACGTGAACCTTATCCTTAACCCAGGCTTCTTTAGATATGTCTACCCTTCTACACTGCACTACAGAAAATTCAGTGTAATAGCTGAAAAAGTTTGAACTAGTCACTTCAGGCATTAGCAATAGCCTACCCATGGCCACATGGGATAATTGCAGTATACACGTAACTTTATTTACAGACCTACATTTGTTTATCCTTCCATCTAATTTAAACTGAACCAACTTCTGATTGCTCGGTCAAAGCAATGGTTGGCTCTTGCTGCCATTTAACAAAAGGAAGCCTAAAATAATACTTGCATATTGTTGGTTCAGTTGCTATTTGAAGAAAGCTATTTGCTGTTTCATCTGGTTCCTACCATTATTAATAGAAATTATTTTCCAGTTCATATCTGGGAAGTAAAGTTTCCCTTGGTGATACAATATACTGTAATATTTTATGTATTTGCAGATTATTTTTGAAACACATCATACTATTTTAGCTATACCTTCTTGTTTCTTTGTCTTCTACTTATCTTTAATTTTGGCATTGTTTCTTTGTTTCTGTGTTACTACTTTGTTGTAGTAGTTTATCAATTTTATTGCAGTATGATGCATGGAGCTTGGGAAATGTGTTTATTTATCGTTTTATGTAGACAAGAATATGAAATACAAAGCCATGAAAGAATTGGCCAAGTTTTCACCTCATATTTTCAGTTGCACATTTTTTTTATTAATCTGATGTCAGTTACTCTGGCCCTAAGTACAACCCAATTGACTGGTAGCAAGGTAACAACACATGTATATAAATGGTTATTTGAAGAATTGCATGTAGTGATTGGTTTTATGTGAAATGTAACATGATTTCAAACCTAGGCAGTTTTGCTTTTTCCTCTCTCTAGCAGATAGACGACCACTTGCTGGCATTTATGGCAATTCTGTATGCAGCTGTCAAATTTGTATGTGTATTTCTCAGTGCAACTAGCCGACATACTAAGAAAATCAGGCTTTTTTTTTTTTTTTTTTGGTATTTAGAAGTAGTGCTCTGCAGTAATCAGGGACCCTACATTCAAGTTCATTAAATCAGTCCAACTTTAATCATTAATTAAACTCGTTGGCTGGCTGAAATGAATATAATCTTCTGGTGCTGTGACTATTTCAGTGTTTGTTTCTGATAATATGTAGTTGATCAGTGGACAGGGCTGTGTTTTCTTCATGCCTAGATGAAGGTAATGAATGACAGAAAGTTCCCTTTAAATAAGAGTATCTGCTTCATATCCTGCAATTTAGCGTAGTTGTCAGCTTTTATGTTGTTCAGGCTGTTGTTTTCCTTTGATTCTGTTTTACTTTTATTTTGACCATAATTTGGCATGTTTTATATTCTTTCTGATGTTTGGGGCCGGGGCAGGGGGGGAGGGGGAGGGTAGAGTTCAGAGCTTTGAACCTACTTTTGAGGAGGTTCTCATTCAGCTCCCGTGAGGGTGTACCAGAGCTGCACTAGTAATGTGTGAAAAACTAGACATAGGGAAGCTGTTCATGACTTAATGAAGTACTGTTCTTTAATGGATTTGTAGATTCAGGGTAGAATTCAGTATTTTAGGAGGATGGGAAACTAATGCATTCTGAGAATGCTAATACCTTAACCTTTTGCTTTCATGAAAGCAGCTTCATTCATCATAAACTTCCGAGACTCAAAGTTTCAGTAGCCCAGTGGAGAAGCTCCTAAAGCATTAATGTCAGAACTGTATTGGTATCAGAGAGGTGCAACAGAGGTGGCAGGAATATTCTTTATTCAGGCTTCATTTTCAGAGTTAAGTCATAAATATGCTGGATGTTGATGTTTCTATATGCCAGTAGAAGGGAAAAGTCAGTATCTTGTCTACACTGGTAGGGCAGGATTTGAAGAAACTGTGATAACAAGGAAAAAAAGTCCTCAACATAAAGCATAGTTAAAAATGTTGGGTTTAATTTTTGTCTTCTATAAAAACAGTATTGGCTAGGCTATAGTTAGAGAATTCCTCTTATAAGAGGAGTGAGACTTTTAACAAAAAGTCTTGCCTTCAAACAGAAACTGTGCATGTGGCTTTTTTCAGATTGTTGGTATTTCACTCTTCTGCTTTGTTTTTCCTTCAGGCTAAAATTGGCTATCCTTTTATGCATGCTCCCTGCATTGTATGCCAAAATGTATCTGAGCACTTATGCACATACCAGTCTGGTTTTGCAGTAGAATGAATACAGGTACAGTGGCTAGCATTAAGAGAAAAAGGTATTTAATGTGAAATACTGTTAGGTAAACATCCCTTTTAGTAGCAAGCTCTCTGTGGGTGTTTGTGTATTTCTTTAGCTATGGTTGAAAATTTTAAGTTGTCATTATTACCATAACATGTGATTATTTTTTTTTTTTAGTTATGCACCTGAAGTAGGGAGACAGGTAGATAGTAAGTCTCTCCAGCCAGAGATGCTCCTGTGATGCTCCTGTGATAGTAAACACTTGCAGCAAATTTTACTCCTTGAATGCAAGCTGTCTTTTAATTACTATCAAATTATTATCTTCCTCAGCATATGTAACTGAGCATATATAACTTCATATATAACTGAGCTATTAATGTAATCACCAGGTGGACATCTTGTTGACTGTGTGGGCTTCTATTAGCCCTACCTTGGGCAGTTGCCTGAGTCTGTGTCCTCCTCCTTTATACAACCAAGCTGAGTGTTGGTTTGTTGGGGTGGGAGGGTAGATGCCTGTATTTCTGAAGCCAGTATCTCCTTAACTTATATTTGGATTTGTTTCTCAGAGTCACTTTTTTTTTTTAAATATTGTCAAAAAGATCAGTGAAAAGCCAGCCATTGATTGCACAGCATGCTAAGATCAGTTAGATACGTAAACTTTTCTGCTCCCTAAAGCTGAAGTAGAGTTGATTTATATAATCAGGATTAATAGTACCTGAATTACAGTAAACTTATGTACCTCTTCTGGCAATAGAATGAAACTATTTAAAATCCACAACAATAAAAATAATAAATTTTCACATGAGTAATAACTAGAAGCTTTCCTCCCATCGCTGATTATGTGGCAGACATCCTGTATAAATATAAGATCTTGTGTTATAATCAACATGACCAAATTACCTTTTTTTTGTGTCTTGTTTTGCATCTTTGCAGTTCTTGGTTTTCAAATCTGGGTTTTATTTCTTACTTTAAAAATGCAAATAACTGTCTGTTTCTGTAGAGTTTCAGTAACTGTAATTCTGGTTTTCTTAGAAGATTGGTATTGACAAAACCAGACAGACTAAGTTATATTCAAGGTTTTTATCCCTGTTCACACTTAGTCATCCCCTAGATGGAAAAGGGAGAAGACAGACCTCTGATTTATTTAAAATTAGACTTAATTGGCAAGGGTAATGGCTGTGTATGGTCCTGCTGGACAAGCTGTAGCTCTAAAAAGGCCTTTGTTCTTGCTTCTAAAGACAGTCTGTAATTATTAAAGGTCTGTTGCCTTTTTTTTAATGTTTACTATAAACTACCTCTTGAACTAGAATCTCGCTATGCAAAGATCATTTTTATACTTTCAGGTCCCTTGGGCCACGGCTTGTGTTGAGAATGACATTAGGAGCAGAAATTACTAGCCAGCTCAAGGCTTCTTCATACATAGCATCGGGCCGAAACTTTTTGAGATGGGACCTGTCACCAGAGCAAATTAGAACACGAACAGAAGATCTGATCAGGAAGACGAAGCATGTATATGACATTGTCGGGATGCTTGATATTGGAGAAGTAACACATGAAAATACTGTACAGGCCTTGGCAAATATAGAAGTGGAATACGCAGGTTAGTGTATGTTTTCTGTGATTCTTTCCATAGGGCATTCCATCTGCATGTGAAGAAACACTGAGAAAAAGATAGTTGTTCCTTACAATTCTGATCCTTGCTGTGCTTGTGTAGAATGTGTAGAGGCCTCTCAAGGGTCTTAGTCTAGAGACAAAGATAAGGATTAGCAAACTCTTTGACACATCCAGAGAACTGCATTGATCACCTCGTGGTTTTTTGCAAGTGAAGCTCCACAGAGCTGTAGTTTCTTTTTCAAGTGTGTACAGCCGCTAGGGGACAATGTGCAATAGCGTAGACTACAGCGCCTGTGGTGTGCATAGTGCATTCAAACCTGGTAAGCAATGCTTTTTTCAGACTGTGCAGAATCTGAGACAAGAAAGTCAAATGCAGCAATGGAAAGGTTGATAAGTTCCTAGTGGAGAAATGTGATAGTTAAGAATGGGGGACAATTTGAATGCTTTTTTGAAAGAAGACTGCCTTACTTGCTCACTGTTATACTACGGCTTGCAAAGCCTTGAAGAATCCAGGGAGGGGTGTTGCTCATGCAGGCACAACTAGATTGTTCTAAATGAATTACCAAGGCATGCCAATAACATGGATGGCGTTTAATGGTCAAGCACAGGTCATTCAGTTAATTTGTTAATAACTGTCAGTCAGAGGAGATGGGAAAAATAAAAACGTGTCTTGGGTGACTTTGTTTTGAAAAACCTATCAGATGGTGCCTGTGTGACTCTCAAAAAGCAGTCAGTGTAATAAAATACAAAGTTCTCTTAAATCCTCTAAAAAAATCTGCAGTAGCAACAGAAGTGCTGAAAGAGCCACCTTGGCTTGGGGCAAAGTCTTTGCCTAGCAAAAAAGAGCAGCCTGCAGCTCAAATGATGGTACTGTGATATTAGTCTGGCTTTCACATTACTTAGAATTACAGTTTAGGCACATCCAGTGAATTGGCTGGAATTGATGATGGCAGGAAGACTGAGTAATCTTCATCCAGACAGCTTCCTGTCAGATTCAGTTTTAATTGTACCAGTGTATTTGGTATAATAATTGTAAGCCTTTTCACCAAAGTATAAAACTCTCTGCTTTAAATTAAATTAGAAGGAAAATCTATGTTTGATTCAGAAAATAGTGTCCGCTAGCTTCTCAATGTAGCCACCAAGACTGGCATCTTCCAAGATGTACTTTTTTCCTCTACATGCTATTGCAGTAGTGGGTAATATTTAAGCTTTTAATGATAGGCTTCAAAGCTGTATGTGAAATTAGCATGACTTCCCTGCGCAACAGCCCATGGCATATGATAAGGATGTATTACCACCGCAAGACTTCCATCAGAACCTTGGATTTTTAAGGCCTGTGTGTCCCTTTCACATGTACATGAAAGACCTACCCCAGTAACTAGAACTTGCTATCTGAAAAGACACAGATGACAACAGGCCTTACATTTCACTTGGAAGCTGCCAAAACTTCCCAATTTTGAAACATCTTGGCATGAAGACAGGAGGGTGGGGGGAAAACATTTCCTATGGACTTCAAGAAGAACCATATGCCCATGTTTGCATTCCAGAGGTTTCTGAAGGGCTGAGAGTATCTCAAGGTTTGATGAAACAACTTCAGATTACATAAAATTACCAAGCTCTAAATCATCCTAAAATGTTGTTACTCTAAAATGTGCTTTTGGGGAGGTAGAGGGGAATGAAATTATAATTGGTTTTGAATGAAGTTAATTCAGCTGGTCATAACGATTAATTTCTATTTTAGCATTTCTATTCAATGTCATTACAAGATGCAATATTCCTTTAATGAGCAAGGGTTTACTTAATCTCAAAAGTGCATTCTAAAAAAGTAGTATTACTCAGCTTCTGATCTCTAGGAGTTAAGAATACATAGACAGCATCTTCTGTGTTTGCATTATTGTTTCTCCTTGAACACAGAAGAAAAGATGGGGATTTGACACTGTTCTCGTAACAATGTGAAAATAACTTCAGGACAGATGGGCCTGTTTGAAAGATTCAGAGCTTTTCACTTTAAATGCTAACATGGAAGCATCTGTGCCAGCTGTGAGACAATGGCAGTCTTCACTTACAAATGGTTCATCTTTCAAAAAATCATCTATCGTATTCATACACTTTTCAGGTGATTTTGTAGTAGTAAGATGATGATGTAATTAGGCTAGGGTAATAGTTTCTGTAAAATGTTTATTTGTTATAATGGTGTGCAGTTTTGTCCTTCTACCTATTAATTTTTACATTATCTGTAATCACTTCATTTTCTTCAAGCCTGATCTGAAGTGTCAGGTTGCATTGGATACTTGTTTCTTATGTCTTCCATAAATATCAGCAGGGGGGAAGTTTCTTATCCTTGAAGCGATTATGTCCTTCAGCGAAAGTGTTCATTGCCTTTTATTTAAACAGTGGAAAGAAGCATGTTGGATTTTCCCCAGCATGTCTCACCTGACAAAGAGGTACGCTTAGCAAGTACAGAAGCTGACAAAAAACTTTCTAATTTTGATGTGGAGATGAGCATGAGAGAAGATGTCTTTCAGAAGATTGTTTATTTGCAGGTAAATCACAATGATATCTGCATAACTTGTGGAAATGTAGATAAAATTCCAGGAGTGAAAAACTTTTCTCTAAAGAAGTTAGTATCCAAAGCGCTTTTCAAGATCCCCATCACTTTTATGTGTTTCCCCTGTGTCCGTACCAGTCAAGTCTTTCCAGTGGGACACAGCTACAAAAAGTCTGTGGTTCCAAAAAAACTTAAGCCGGTGTGACTTAGGAAACCCATCAGGAAAAATATTTTATTTTCTTTTTCTGCTGGTTGAGCTCCCTGAACTGGTTTGCCCAGAGCATCACCAAGGGTGAGGGAAAAGGGAGTGAGAAAAAAGGCAATATAGCAATGGATATAGGTTGGTTTATGCTGCTTTTGAATTTGTGTCCAAAATTGTTGTTTATTGAAGTTGTTGAGAATTTTAAATTTTAAAGTTGATATTTGAGTTATGAAAGTTAATGAGAACATATAAATGGGAGTGACCTCTGAAATTACCTCTTTTGATCTGCTAATTATAGACAGCTACATTGTATACTCCTGCTCATATGTTGCCTAAGCCTCAAAATAAAAACTAAGTCAAAATATACATATACTGTTGAACTAGTTTCTATCCCTTCTGTGTTTGTTTAGCTTCCCTTCTAATCGAGCACCTACAGCTATCTTGTATTCTTCATTTGTAGTGTTTATTTTGTAGTTCAAACAGGAGTAATATTTGGTTTTGTTCAAATGCATCTCGTGACATTTAGTAATAATTTTCCAAAAGTGTTATTTGAAGATAATGCAAGGAAGCTATTTAACATGAAACGTAAAATATATACATTTCTCCATGCTTCAAATGTGAATCTTCCCTTTCAACCCCACCAATTTTTAACCTTCTTATGATGCTGATATTATGTCAGACCCCTATTTCTTGGAGTCATCATTTGTGCTTTTTGCAGCATTGATGAAACCAGAATAATATTTGCAGCGCCTTATTAAAGTGCTTTCCAATACCATTGCATTCTATTGCTGTGCTTTCTAGGCACATTTTCAAGTGTTCTTCTTTAGCTGGGTATTATTTATGTGTTTGTGAAGGTATTTAATAGCCCCATTTTGAGGACCTTCTGTTGTGTGTTGGCAGATAGTGCCTTATGTTGATTTTTTTTTTTTTTTACCCTGTGCCTTACATTGATTTGTTTTCCCTGCTCTGTTGCTATTAATTAAATGGTCTTATATTTATTTATTATTTGCTGTGATTTTCCCCACCCTCCAGTATTGTATACACAGATACATTTGGGGCTAATCTGCCATATCTGTGTGTCTATTTTTAATTTACAGGTATTTCTGATAGTAGCTAGTGAAAACTGATTGCTGTTATTTGCTAGTATTTGTTACAATCTTTTTTTTTTAAAAATCTTTTTCATTTGGTGCTTTCCTACTTCATTTTCCTTTGCAGCAATACTTGGCTTTTATAACAGTTACAATTGTTGCTTAAATCTCCATTTATTTTTTCTAGAAGTTTTTCTTGGCTTAACTGCAGCATGCAACAATGTTTTAGTATTAGTTTTCCAGAGATCGAACCTCTGAGCATATATCAACTTTATATGAAAATAGTAGCAGTTTTTGCTGTAGAATAGTTCTGAAATTGCCAATAGTGCCAGACTGATCAAGTCTTGCTATTTCCAAATCACAAAGTTCTTGTTGATTTTTGCTAAATTACTAATGCCTTTTCCTGTTAGAAAGTCTGAGTTGAAAAGTCAGGTTCCAGGAGCACATAAAAAAAGGACTTTCACAAACAGAAATGTTTTGCTGAAATCATTTTATCAGTTTAAATGAGCCAGTAAAACATTTTGATTAAATCAGGTTTTTCATGGCCTCACTGTGTTTTTAGTAGTTCAGGTACATGAATTCAGTTTTGTGATCCTGCACAGGGGCCTAATTAAAATGTGGTGAGGGGAATGAGGGCCCTCACGCTTCCATGTTATTTATCTCAGTGGCATCCTGAATGTTTTTGCTGCCTTTAAGGAGAACTAAACTTTTCTTAGCTAACAACTGTTTAGTATTCTTTCTAAATTCTGGTTTATTTATGAACTGTTGATGGTGGAAGATGTGTGAGGGTTTTGTATTTAATTTAAAAAAAAAAAAGTTAATCTGGTCTCTTTCTTTTCCCCCACACATCAGGTGAAAAAATTCCTGCATAAGTTTATATTGTTGAATATGCTCCAGATCTTATTCTTTAGAAAAACTTTTATTTTGGGGTCTGAAACTTGGATTAAAGGTGAATTTGGTAGTGAAACTATAATTTTAAATTTTATTACTCCTAACATCTGCACACATTGGCTAGCAGAGGCATGCTGAAGAATGTTGCCAATCTTCTCCACCCACACGCCCTCAGGAAGCTCAGCCTGATGTAAACAGCTGCTGCAGTTTTTGTTCATGATATTCTAAGTAGGTTTTGTTTCTTATTCTGCCCGAAGATTTCTTCATGGAACAAGGTAGCATGGTTTCCCAAGACAGATATGAAATGGTATATAAAATCATCAACCATGGCCATTCTAAAACCTCTGGGTAGATCCAAAATTTCATATATATAGTACATTTGAAATAGCATTTCTTTTGTGGAAATTCCTCACCAAGAAAACACAGGATGGCATAGACCATCTTGACTAGACTGAAGTTCAGAGGTGATCACACAGCACCCTTGGTTCCTGTGCCTGTGAGGGTTTATATGCCTGCTTATCCTTAAAGACCTGACAGGTCTTTTTGAATGTGTATCATCCTTATCTTAAGCATGTCTCTGATGCAGATAAACTTCACAAAGGCTAATAATAAGATTAGAAGCTATTTAACATTGATTTCTTTTGAAGTGTATGGAGAGATGTACAGTCATCAAGAGAAGGATGAAGAACACTAACTTAGTTTTCTCCTCCTTTTTCCCCAAAAGAATCTTTCTCTTTCTTAGCTTTAGAAGAAGCCAATATTCACTGTCTTTAAGGGCTTAAAATTAGCATTTGTGAATTCCCTTCTTCTGCCTAATATCTTCGCTGGAGTGTGACAGTTGCATATGCCCTGGGATATGCTGGGAGATCCCTCACAATGCCTAAATAACTCAGTGAGACTTTTCACAATTCTCTGTCCTTAACTGTTAATGTAATAAAAGCAGTGTCTTTTTATAGAGATGAGAGTACTCCATTTTTTTTCTCAGCCTTTCTATTTTTGAGCCTTGCAGCACAGTTAGCACAATATAAATGCTAATGTAGTGACAGCATCTGCATTTCTCACCTCTATATATTTTTGAAGTTGTGCTTTTTCTATCATAGTAGTATTAGGTCAGGAAAAAAAGAACCCTGAGATTGTGGGCTGTCCAGTGGAAAAACAATATGTGAAAATTCTGATTGTTACAAATATTTCTGTAGTTGATATCACAGCACTGAGACTCCTAGATGTAGTGCTTGGTAGCATAAACATCTTCATGAAGCTACAGAATTTAAGGAGTATTCTTTGCGAGAAGCAGAGCAGGAAGCCCAAGTGTCATAGGGAGTAGCATAATAACGTTCTTTTTTATCTTTGTGTTGGGAAATATTCTGTGTGGCTTGCCTTATGCATGTATCACCAACGAGGATGGAGGATGTGAAGTTTGACTTGGAGAGGTCAGAGGGCATGATTTTCGTTACTTATTTTCCTTCCAAAAGGAGATTTTCACCATTTACATCCTTTTACTTTTAAAAAAAACATAATTTTCTTTACTTATTTTCCTTCCAAAAGGGGATTTTCACCATTTTCATCCTTTTACTTTTAAAAAAAAAAAAAAAAAAAAGTGATTGCCATGTGCTGCAAAGAAGTCATAGCCATGGTGAAGGGTACACCGTGCAATCACATGGCTCAGTTGTCATTGACCTGTGTGGTGTGTTGACCTATAGTAGTTAGATCATCCTTTCATGAGTCTATGGATTCTTTTAAAAATTACCTGTAAACAGATAATATTAAAAAGAAAAAATATTCATCATATGACAGTATTGGTAAACTCAGCTAAATCTGCCTGTTGCTTTAGAAGAGTTAGTTTATCAAAAAACTAAGTGATTGTTGTCACTTTTTTCACTGGACTTGGAAATTCTTGCATATAGACTATAGGTATATGCATAAGAGTTTTAGGCATAGTTGTAGTGATGCTTAGAAGTCCTGCTGCAGCGTAGTGCTACTGGGATTTGTGACTCTTTGCAGAATAAAAATAAAGCTAAACCATCCTAAGCTCTTTCATGGCTCTAAAACCCAATTTCCACTAATTTTTTAATCCTTTATGCAGGGCACTTATGGGAGTAGACATTATTTATGTGATGTTGTGTGGACTATTTTTAAATGAAAGTTGGGAAAATACCTATTTCAGAGGTTTTAATCTTATTTTCTCTTGGAATACAATCAGCTTCCTGTCTCTTATTTTTCTGTTTAAGGAAGAGAGGTAATTTGCACTGGCAGGTCATTAGTTGACAGCTGTGCATAGTTGTGTAACTCTTTCATAAAATTTGCATGTTTCAACATCCTTACTTTTGAGAGGTGCTAGTCAAGAATTAATTGTATGTAGGTAAGCTGATGAGAGGGTTGTTACAACAAGTCGGAGCTAATTCCAACGTATTTAAACGTGAACTTAAATAGAATATGTCCTTTTTAACAAGGACTATGAGTTAATACCTTTCTTTAAATGTTCACTTTTAGATGAGGGAAGATAAAATTAGAATGTGTACAGCATTATTTTCAATTTAGGACAAAATGGCAAGTTTCTGAATTATACAGTTATGCTGTAGTCAGTTTGAAGGAAGACCCTCACAGGACTGGTCCGTGTTCTGTTAAAACCAGTATCTTGTCTCTTAACATTCCTTGAGGAAGTGACCACCCAAGAATCTTTGTAGTGCATAACCAGACATAGAAACAGTTTTATTTGTTGTCATTGATTGATTTGTTCTGAAGGAGAAGATGTATGTGCTCAAATTTTATGCCATCTGATAATCTTCAGTAATACATCCAATGTTTTAGGGGTTTTCTCAATCCCTCTAAGTCTTAAGGTACCAGGGTTACCTTGTAGCACTGATTTTCTTCAAGTATGTATAAGAAAGCTACCTCTACAGAAGAAGCTTAAGTGCACTGTACTATAAACTAAAAGGGCTTGCCATTATGACAGCATGTAAATGTGCTGAGATAGTTGGTAAAAGAAAATTATTTTAAAACCGTACTACATCAATATAAGAATACTGTTGTATAAGGTAACTGTTTTTGGAAATTCCTTCACACTAAAATCCGTGATACTCCTTTTTTAATATGGTGGTGTTCTAAAGAACAACTCTGTTCAGATCCTTCTAATGCTTGGTATGTTTCTTACACTATGTTGTAAATTCAATTATTCTATACTGTCATTTCAGCAAACCTGCGATCTTGAAAACGTAAAGCCTGAAACAAAGCGGTATCTAGAGAAATCAGTTCAAGTGGGAAAAAGAAACGGACTCCATCTTCCTAAAGAAGTGCAGAATGTAAATATGGACTATTAGTTTATAAAGCAAAGGTGACAAACTGTTGAAGGGATGAAATTATGGTTGTATAACTGTACCAAGCATATATTTTAACTTTGTACTTTTGGACCTGCTTAATTAATGCTGTAATCTTGACTGTTCTTAGTTTCAGATGCATCTTTTAGACTTCAGTCACCTTAAGGTTTTTAAATGTTGAAATGTAAACAGTAGTCAGTGGATAGAGGTGGGATGCATCACCTCTCTTAGCCTTCCGGAGTAAAAGAAGCCTATATGGAAGAATTTTGTTATATATTCTGATGACAGAGAATGCCTAAATTAGATAGATTCCTAGCCAAGAAGCCTCTTAAAAATGTTATTTGTGAGTCCAAGCTACAGAAGTATGTTACAAAGATTCAAATTTCAATTATTAACCAATGTTGTAAAATGTGTCCAAGATTTTAGCATTTTGACTAAAAGAACTTGAGGTAGCTTAAAGGAGCACAAGCTGCACTGAGAATTTTGTCTCCATTAAGGGAGGATTTACTCAATCATATAAAAGCACTTGGCACTTCTGAAAATCATGAAGTAAAATTGTCTGCACCTGAGATGCTGACGTAATTGTCTTTAAATTCTGAGTAATGTATATAACAGTCTCGATTTATGACTCTTGAATAGACTTTACCCTACGTAGAAAATCATCATTCTTCATCCACATCCTTCAGCTGGTGGGAACAGTTTCATGTGTATGTGCATTGCTTAAGGGCAACTGATGCCTCTAAAGGAATTTTGAAATACTTTGTATGGAGACAATAGTTGAATTACATTTAAGTAAAAACTTGACTAATGATAGTCTCTGCCAAGTTTTGTATTTGGTGTGTATTCTTCTACTGGTAACTACTGTGTTTATGTGAACTTGACAGTAAGACATAGAGACGTGCTATGAGATATATTGGAAAAAGTTTCACGTGGTTAAATATCAGGATTTTAAAAGAGGTTTTGGAATGGTCTTGTCTTGTGTGAGTATTCTCTTCTTTTTGTCATACCTGCATAATTCCAAAGGAGTGTTTTTCAGTAAGTTGCATCCATTTTTACTCCATTGATTCTCATTGATTTTAGTGGATATTTTTAAGCTTAAAATTGTAATCTAGGCTTTTCAAATAAAAGAACATAATTGAATGTTAGCTCATAATGATGTTCAGAGAAAATGTTTATGTGTTCTGTTCCCTCTGAGTTGAGAACACACTTGACACGTCAGAGCAATAGCCCCAACCCAGGGTTCATTGGCAACAATATTGCTCAGGACCAAAAGAAAAATAAAAGGGAGGCTGAGGGAGAGCAAGGTGTGATGCTACCTGCAGTGTGTTACTTGCTCAATGCTGGTGTTCACTGTTGGCTAGGAGACAGCCTAGCTGGAAAAAGTGAAATACTATTCATGTGGAGGGTAGTAACTGCCAAGTTTGATGCTTTTCCACTAAGTTCAGTTTATATCCAATGCAGGAAATAAAGACAATGAAGAAAAAAGTGAGCGAGCTGTGTATAGACTTTAACAAAAACCTGAATGAGGAAAACACTTTTCTTGTATTTTCTAAGGAAGAACTTGGTGAGTAGTATGCATTTCTTCAACTTCCCAGTTTTACTAGAGTAATTGTTTTTTGCCCAGTGAATGATGGCTAGATCAAGTGAAATTCTGTCTGGTTTCCAGTCTTCTCTGTTTCCTTCTTAATCCTTCCCCAAAGTCAGTTTAGAATTATCCTTTGCAGGTGTTTATGATCTCTTCATAGATTTGTGCTTCCTGAAGTGTTTGCCTTGCATCAAGTTAGTCCTGTCCTATTTTTTTCTTTTTTCATAACTTTACTCTTCTCTGCTTCTTTTCTCAATTCTCCACCATCAGGCAATCCCCTGTGTATTATATTCATTGCAATTATTGGAAAAACTTTCTGTCCTGCAATATATTTTAGCAACTTCAGTCATTTATATTGATCTAGAGATTTCATGTGACAGAGAATTTGGGGATTCATTATCTGAAGGACATGGCATAAAATGTGCTTTAGTAAGACCAGAGATTTTTTTAATGCCGTATTCAGTTTTTATGTGGTAGCCTTTCTCTTTTGCTCACAAGCATTTACAATTTTTATTTTGCTTGGTTGTAATTTGAAAAAGTTTTAGCAAATAGTTGTAAAAAGAGGGGTTATATTTCTGTGGCAATTTCTGATGTCAGATTAGATTGCAGAAAAACAAATGCAACAATCTCACAAAAAGAGAGTGGAGTATGTAATTCTGGTAAACATTGTTTATTAAATTGTGTTCTATAGAAGGCCTTCCTGATGACTTTATTAAGAGTTTAGAGAAGACTGAGGAAGACAAATACAAAATTACTTTAAAGTATCCCCACTATTTTCCTGTCATGAAGAAGTGCTGCATTTCAGAAACCAGGAGAAAAATGGAATCTGCCTTTAACTCAAGATGCAAAGAGGTATGTTGTATATTGACTGTTCTACAGAGTAATGACAGAGTTGAAAAATGGACCTAGTTATTCAAATGTTAGATTTCAGTTCTATATATAGTCTAGTACTGTGAAATCAAAACTGATCAGTGTGATCTTTAGCAGTTCCTTGCTCCAGTTTATTCTGATGTCTGAAGACCTTAGAAGTAGATGATCCGCCTGTGTGTGTGTACATGCCTTAAAGTTTCAGTGGTGCTGTAAATAGAAGGACGATTTTGATCTTTTGCCAAATGTCCCTACTGTGTTCTGCAGCTGCTTACTGGCACTTTCCTTTTAGAAAAGGATGTCTGATTGTAGCTTCTGTAGTCTTTGGGATTCTTCAGAATCAGAGGGGTCATTTAAGCACAATGTTCTAATTATGAAATACAGGCGATTATATATGAAATTAATGCATTGTATATTGATGAGAATTTTAATTAGATATTAACCCCCCCTAATTTTTGTAGAAGATTCATTTAATTATCTGAAAAATAGCTGGTAACATGCCTTATAAAAAGAAGAAATAATTTCACAAATAATTTTTTTTATACTGATGAGACCAGGCACTTAGACAGGTACAAAAATAAATGAAAGAATAGAAAGGATGGAAGTGTCACTCAGGCAATTGTACCAACCATTCATTAGAGAACAATGGCAGTGTTGAGCTTTTGTACTTGCAGTGCTGGGAAATGTGAAGAGTACAAGGCAAGATAAAATAGCACCCAGAACTGAACACTCTGCAAGTCAGCACACTTAAAGGGATTTGCTGTTAAAACTGTGGGACAATCTTCGAACCTAGTGCTTGAAAGAAAGGTTTTTCCCTGAGAAATCTTGCTTTTCCAGAACTGGAGGTTAACATAGTTACATTTTCAGCTTCTCAAGGATCCTCCACCACAGTTAGGTCAGGGTCTAGGGTTTTTGTGTTTCAGAACTCTTTCTCTGACTGCTGTTGTCAGAGTGGCAAAAGACAGAAATTTGCAGACAAGCCTTGAATGTTGGCACAATAGCTTTGCAGTCTGTCTTCGCCACTAACAAGCAATTAAGCCTGCTGTCAGCCATTTCCCTGTTATCTTTCACATTTAAATGATTGACAGAGAAAGTAAACTTTGTGCAACAGTCAAAGATTTATTATTAACCTAAAAGGAAATGGTATATATTTTGATTAATTAAAACAGATACATTATGATAGGGAGAATAATTACTCAGATTGACTAGAAAAGTGGCTGCCTGCAATCAAATGCTGTGACAAAAAAAATACAAGAATTTAGCTAAACCTACATTATTCTGTATTTATATCTTAAAGCATTTAATTTTAAATGTTTACTGTTTCTTATGATTACAGATATTATTCAGAAAACTGTTTTGATAACATGTGTTTTCTAGTTTCACTTTACTCCTTTCTTTTTTAGGAGAACACAAAAATCCTTCAGCAATTGCTTCCACTAAGGGCAAAAGTAGCAGAGCTTCTTGGTTACAATACACATGCCAACTTTGTCCTGGAGGTAAACACCGCAAAGAGCACAGATAATGTAACAGCCTTCTTAGGTTTGTTCTTATTTATAAACAATAATTTTATATTTGGTGTGGCAACATGACTCCTCAGCCAAGATGAATTTACATACATAATTGGGTCACGGTGTCCATCTTGTTTAGATAGAAAAGGAACTCTGTTACCTCTGTTCTGGCATATATATTTTCTTAGACTGTAGCTGTACAAATGCCATTGCTCCAAAACCAGGAAGTACAACACAAAAATCTGAAAATAACTACATTGTGACAGCCAATATAGGCAAGCAGTTATGTCTTTCTCTGCCCCAAAATGCAGTTACTCAGTTAGAAGCAGAATAACACGTGCAGCAGTTCAAGAGGCTGCGTCACAGTTGCTGGAATTTTTTTGTGCGTCTGTAGCCTTAGTGTCTTCTGATACAACTGCATTAAGTATAATGAAAGGTGATGCAACTTCCATGAGCTGAATTAAAAAATTAAATTTGGAATTCAAAAGCCCTCTAATGGAATTTAATCTGAAAACAGAGATATCTTGAAAATTTTAAAGTGAGTAGTTTACGAATTCAATCATCCTGTTGACCTCAGTGGGCCCCCTCTTGTGCATAGAGTTAACCTCTACTTCCTGGAATTACATAGTTCCACAGATAGTATGTGTTCCTGTAGTAATGAGACCTAACACCACTTAGGATTGTATATTGATATATAGTATAAATAAATCCCCCAAAATAATTCAGTACAGCAATAAAGTCTGCTGGTGGTAGTGGGGTTTTTGTGTTTTTACATCAATAAAGAGGTTCAAATGCGCCTCTTCTTTCACCTGTAATTCTGTCACATTTCTATTGTTATGGTGTGAGCTCAGCTCCATATTTGGCAATACCAATTATCTGTATTTCTGTCAATGAACTTACATTTAATTTTGATTTATAATTAAATATTACGATTACCTGATTTTTTAAAGTGTACTTAAGGTAGTTTGGACCCCTTTCTATCCATTATATTCTTGTAATTCTAAATGGGCTTATAATACTGTGTTTTTTCATTTGTTTTGAAGCTGACATACCTCATAATTTAGTAGTTATTGTTGTGACTAACTTTTTACAGTATGGAATCATATGCTTTTCTATTCATAAATACAATGTTTATAGTAATTCTTGTAGAGGGAGAATGTCCATCAAATTAATTGTCAGCTTTAATTTAGTTCTTTTGTTATATCCTCAGCTACAAGCATGACAGTATGATTTGCTCTGCTTTGTTCATATATATTCATGTTTTAAATCAATGTTCATAATCTAATCTTGTAGTTAGGAAGAAAAGCATTCTGTCCTATGACATCTCCTGAATTTAGCATAATACGAGTGCAAACGGTATTTCAGTCATGTAAATGCATGTAGTATCTTACAGGCTACCTAAAAACAGGAGTGGCAATTCCTAAAGTTTACTTTCTAGATATCAACAGTGAACATTAACCTGAATTCTTACGGAATAAAAAAGTGTCTGGTAGTCCAGAAATGCTTACAAGAGAGTAAGTACAGTATGTACTTCATGGGAGTTTCAGTAAGCTTAAATATTTTATACTCAATATATTGGATTCATAGTGCTATGGACCCTTCCTGTTGAAGAAAAGCTATATTGCAAAAAATTCGGATCATAGAGATTAATATCTAGTGGCTTTGGTAGTCTAGAAACTAGCATTCGTATAGGCAAGAACTCTTTAGTCTCCTCTTCTTTTATAGGACTTAAGCTAGAAGTAGGACCTAATCTGTTTTGAAAAGTCTTGGAAGAAAAAGTGGTATTTGAATTTTGTGTTAGTCTTCCAGTAACTAGTAGCAGTTGTACTCTTTGGCTGCTTCTGCAGAAACACATCAAGAAAACTGAGATTACATGAGGTAAAATCAAAGGCTTCAAGTGAAAGTATCTAGTGTTACTTTCCATTTCTGATGTCTTTGAAAAAAGTTTACCAAACCCCTTCACAGTACTGCTAGGCCTATGTAGACTCCTGTATTATTTATAGCATGCCTGCAATTAAAACTCATTAAGAAAGCAGAGTTTGCTTGCTGTTAGTCAACAAATGGAAAACTCTAGCATCTGCCTTGGGGCATGTGCTTAAAGTTATGAGTGTATTTTATAGGAATGTGCACTATAGTAAGGAACACAGAAGTTGATTCCAGGCAATATTTGTTTCAGATGATTTGAGTAAGAAGCTAAAGCCATTGCTTGAGGAGGAAAGAGAATTCATTCTGGATTTGAAGAAAAAGGAGTGTAAAGAAAGAAACTTTGATTATGATGGAAGAATCAATGCATGGGATCTTCATTATTATATGAACAAAACAGAAGAGCTGAAGTACTCCATAGATCAAGAAAAGCTGAAGGAGTACTTCCCAATTGAGGCCGTTACAGAAGGCTTACTGAGTATTTACCAGAAGCTGCTGGGACTTGTGTTTGAGCAAGTAGAAAGTGCTCATGTTTGGCATGACAGCGTTACTCTTTATACAGTAAAGGATAATTCAACAGGAGAAATGTTAGGGCAGTTCTATTTGGACCTTTACCCCAGGTAATTATGACTTAGTGTTTTACTTATGTGTTTAGAATGGAATTGGTCATATTAGGTTGCTGGTGGTTTTGAAATTAAATTCATTCAGAAGTAAGTATTTGTCCCACTGACAAGACTGTTACTGTGTTCATTAAGTTGTCCTCTGGACTGTTTTCAGTTTGTTTACACTTTTTCTTTTTTTGCAGTACTACCATGTTTCTTGCTTATATTCAGTTTATGAAGCATTACTATGTCATTCATTTTATGTCGTATTGCTGTCTAGTCAGTTGTCCATAATTTTTTGCCTCTGTGAATTTTTCTCCTTCCTAACTGTAATACCGTGGCTTACTTTTCACTTATGTTGAACTCTTACTCCAGTCTGTTCAGATAAATTATATTCCTGTCTGCCAAGTGTTCCTAGTTTCTCCCAGTTCCTCTTTACACTTTATGTGTGTATTTAGTACCCTGTTGTCCAGACTGCTAAATAAAATAGCAAATAGATCAAGACCAAGAATAGATTCCTGTTGAGCACACCTTGAAATGTACTTCCAGGTTGATTTCTGTAGCTCTCCAGCTCTCTTTGTGGCTATTTACAGCATTATCTGTGTTCTGTCCAAGATTAGGAGACTAGACTGATTTGACAGGATTTATTCTTAGCTAGTCCTTTTTGACAGTTTCTCACTGTTTGTTTGGGTTTTGTAATTGTTCTTTAGCAAGGCTGATACTCTTTTTTAATATAAATTGATTCAAGGCTTCTCTGGATTAAGAAAATTAGGTTAGTCAATACAATAGTATATAAATTGTTCTTTTTAAGATAGGCACATATTATCTCTCCAGATTGCCCCTTTCTGCATATCCTGTGAATTGCTGAACTGATTTCTTAGTAAAAGTCTTCTGACTTAACTACCCCATTAACTACACAGGTTAAGGGCAAAAATTTCAAATTTATTTTTCTTTAAACTTTTAGGTCACACCGAAAATGCAGTAAACTGTATTCTTTTGTCTCCTGTAATGAAAGAAGAAACTACTGCTTCAGAGGACAGAACCTAGTCTTTCTTGTTACAGAAGCAGTTTAAAATAAAATTGACATCTAAAGTATATATACTTTCAGTATTTGAGTAAAAATCAGATTCTTCTAAATGACACTGTGAATATTAAACTAATGCGATTTAAGTACTGGGTTTTTTTTCCCCTTGTGCTCTTAACAGGATCTTAAACTTAGTGAGTCACGAAAGTTATGAAAAGATGTAATTTCTTTGTGTAAAGCTTTAGAGGCACTGACTCATTGTCCATGCTCTTGAATAGGCTTTGCCATTCTGGTGAGCAGGCTTGTGGTTTGAAGATAGTGTCTGATATATTTTCTTATACAGAGAGGGAAAGTATGGGCATGCAGCATGCTTTGGTCTCCAGCCCGGCTGCCTTCTCTCTGATGGCAGCAGAATGATGTCTGTAGCTGCTCTGGTAACCAACTTCACAAAACCAGCATCAGATCGTCCATCATTGCTGCGACATGATGAAGTAAAGACTTATTTCCATGAATTTGGTCATGTAATGCATCAGATATGTGCACAGGTTAGTGATGTTTCAATTCCAGTGTAAGACTTTCTCCACTGTCTCAAAGCAAGGTATAAGTCTATTTTGGTGGTTTCTAATTTTAGTGAGGTACATATGCAGTTTAATAAGGTGCAAATGCAGTTTTTTGGTTATTTTACAAAGTGGTGGGGGTGGTGTCTTTAATTTTTGTTTAAAACTACAGCAATGAACATATCTTCTTATGGAAAACATTTTCATAGGAACATATACTTTCATATTTGCAACGTGCAGGTATCTGTGTAAGGTAAAGAAGGCGCTCAGTGGTGGCTTCTGTTACAGCTGTCAGAGGGCTTTTTATTACTTCTAGCATCATGCTAGACATTAGAAGCAAAAAAGTTGCAGTACCTGGGAATGCAAATGATTTGTGAATCCAGATCACCTCCAGTGTTTTGGTATTTAGTACTCTTGACAGCTACCACTCTTGACATCAAAAGCATGAAACAGGTCTTGCCTGAGCTAGTCTTTTCTGCTCTACTATCTGACAGTCAGGGTTCTCACAGTGACCAGAAAGAACTGAAGCTAGTCTGCAGATTTTGCATCAAGATGTCAATAAAGTTGTAAAATTGCTGGTTTAATTTTTACTTACATGTAAAATTGATTCTGCCAGATGATAAATTTATTATTGGCCTAATGAAAATTTTATGTTTCAGGGAGAGACAAGTCTCAGTACTCATTCACCAAAAAATTTGCATAATTATCTACAAATCAGACTTGTGTAGCACTGCTTTCATCTTCTTTATAAAGAAGTACTAAATAATAAAATCAGAGAAATATGACACACATTAGATTGTAAATCTTGACCTCATCCTAGAGAGTAGGACTGCAGAATAAAGAAGCAAAGTAATAGAAATCCATATATTAAATCCAGAATTAAACAAGTTATGTTCAAGCCAACTTCAGAACAAGCAGTTAGAATTGCTTAGATATTTTTGCATTATGTTGAAGGTGGAAATATAATGATTATTCTGTCATCTTCACCCTAAGACAGGTGTTTCTGAGCTCAAAAATTGAGAAATAAAACCTGTTCTTTTTTTTAAACTACCTAGAAAGTGTGAGACACATATTCAGCATTGGTACAAAATTGACCACAACATTTTTATAACCATTGAGGATGTGCCTGGGTGTTGCAGAGACCCTTCTGGGCAGCCCAAGCCAACAATTCCAATGCATATGTACTTCACTTGCTGCGGAATTGCACCCTCAGGGGGGCCTGCTTTCCAGTTGTCTCCCTCACTGCTGAGGTGGTTTCTGTATGCATAGCTACTATGTTTACTGCTGTTGTATTTTATGTACATTGTTATTTGCACACCTGCAAATAACTTCCTAGTCTGCGTAAGAACATCCTGTCATCTGGGATTTGTGTGTGCAAAGCACCGTCTTGTTTCATACAATGATTTGTTTAAGAATGTTAGACATTGACATTTAAAGGGTATGTGGGGATCAGACTGGGTGGGAATCTGTGAGCTGCTGGTGAAGGTCAGCTTTTGGATACTCCTTGTAATGTACTGAGAGTCTGCTGGAAAGTGAGGTATCAGGGCAGGGAGGGGATCTGTTTATGCTGTTAGGGAAGGAGAGCTATTGAAGTACCATGAACCAAATGTCTTAATATTTTTGTTAGCATGGTGCACTTGTGTATGGGTAAATGAGGATATCTGGAGGCCAACAAACTCTTGCACTCCTCTTACTTTTGCTCTAGCCACTTCTATCACCACTTCTTCCCACCTGATGCTTCCTAGCTTTTATTCATAGCTGCTATTCAGCAAATACAGTAAGAAGGGCCAGGCTGTTGCAACTATGGGTCTGAGTAATACACAAGTGTAAACGAAGGCAAATGTTTTTCTTCTTTTCTGCTGTTTTTCTGAAGACATGAGAGGAAGATACATTCATGTGACATGGCTGTCAGTTCAGTGTTATGTCCTATATTATACATGCTTTTTTTTGGTAACCCTGCAGGAAGGTAAGTTCAAAGGCCAGTCCTCCTGTGGCATCTATTCCCTGATGGAGGATGGAACCTAAGAATATCTACAGCTCTTAGACAGGGTGTTTGGGAAACTGAGAATTCTTTTTTTCTTTTAGTACTTGAAATGCTTTGTTAGAATGTTGCTGAGAAGGGAAGGATAAAATTGAGTTGGCAAGAAGAGGTAGGCTTATTACAGGACAAGTGTGGAGTGAGACCAAATAATTTCTGTTGGCATTTGAACAACTGTCTTTCAAAAGTGGCTGTTTGTTTTTAGAAATATTTGGGGTTTGGAATACATTTTAATGAAGATTTTTAATTGTACAAAACTTTTCTTCAAAATTAGTAGGGGGTGCTTTTTAGACATGAAGTTATTGATGGTACTAAAGTAAAAAATACAAAACCCTAAAGTACTTGGCTTTCAAAAGGAAAATTCTTTCATCAGGATTGAGTGTCAGATTTGGAGACCTTTCATGGATAAAGTTGCTAGGATTCATTTATTTCAGGCCATGTATTACTGGCTCAAAAAATTGTGCTATATGTTAACCTTATGCCCTGTGGATGAAGAGAATTAGGACAAAGCTTAGTAGGGTAAGTTGGTCAAGTAAAGTCATTGAATCAGTGCAGTAGACAGTAATTCAATAAACTATTTTATAAGTGTATAATTGGAGTTTATTATTTTTACTTTGGTTTAATATAACAAAATTTTATAACAATTTACAAATTACATCTCTGTCATAAGACAACTCAGAAACATTTGTATTGCTGTCATAACCTAAAAGGTAAAAATCAATATAATTAAGAAAACTGAAGTACTGAATGTAGTCAATAACTACTGAGTAATCTATTTTGTTGCTTGGTAATAGTCTTATACTGAATTTTTGCCCTCCTTTCTTTAAAATTATTTATTATTAGTAGTATTAGTACTACTACTACTGCTACTACTACTACTATTATTATTATTACTATTATTGAGCTGTTCAAATTATTTCTTTTGCTGTGATTAACACTGAAATTTTGGCATCTGAAAGCTTATATTCTGCTAGAAATCCTGGCTTCTATTTTCATTTAATACAATGGCTTTTTGTTTTAGACTGATTTTGCTAGGTTTAGTGGAACTAATGTGGAAACAGACTTTGTAGAGGTACCTTCACAAATGTTTGAAAACTGGGTGTGGGAAAAAGAACCACTACAGCAAATGTCAAGACATTATAAAGATGAGAGCCATGTTGGAGACACTCTCCTTGAGAAACTTGCTGCCTCTAGACTGGCTAATACAGGTATCTTTCCACCCTCACCCCCCTTGGTATATGTATACAAATATATAATTTAAAAAATTGATGGGAAACGTTAAAGATGGATATAACAAGCCCATTACATTTGTTCTGTGTGTACCCTTATCACTGTCTTTCTGGGTTTATTTGCATGGGTACCACCATTAATAAAGGCTGTGATGACAGATACCACTATCTACAGGAACAGCAGCAGCTGTGATTTTCCAGGACTTAAAATACCTTTGCATTCCTCTCCATGTGGCTTTTTTACCTACCAACTTTGCTCATTTAAAACTGGGGGCAGGGACAAAGGTCCTAGGTTTTCTGTAGTTTTTTCTCTAGTAGCCCAGAGCAGGCACTGTGCATTAATACAGTATCAGATTTTCTACATGTATTGTCTACATGACACTTGACAGACATGAAAGTTGTTTGCAAATTTACTGAATGTATATAGCATATCCCAGACAGAAGTGTTGTAGCCCTACATTGCTCAAACAGCCTCTTAACTTCTCAATCCAGCACCTTTAGTCCATATACTCTACCTTTCCAGCAGATATACTGCCTTCCCCAACTAAGGTGCCAATTCTCTTCTCCTTCCTCATCTTGTACCACCTTTCATGTATCTCCAAACCAAGACTGTAATCTCATGTCATTACCTAGCATCTCATTGTTATTCTGTCACTCTCACCCCTCTGTCCCTGTAATCAGGACTCGCGCAATATCATAGTCTTACCCATTTATGGTACAATTTGTCATTAAGCCACTGCTGTTTATTTCATACTGCTTCCCTATCCTGAACAGTAAGTCCTTGTCCTTCTAGCTCATACAGGCACTGTAGCTACATAAGCATTTTGTCTGAGGAAAGGTTCATATCTTGTAGCTTCTTCAAAAAAAGCCTACAGCAGCTGCAGCAGCAGTTCTTGCTGTTCTTTGAAGTATCTTAGGGTAGATATACTTGCTACCATCTGGGCAAGCTCTGCATGAAATGTTATACAGGAAGAGAAGACAGTTTGGTTTTGAACTGTGAGGAAAATAACATTCAAAAAGATGGAGCTTATAATGATGATTCCTTTATGCCTCTCAACTTCTTGTAGCTGAAGCTATTCAGTTGGAAATGACATAACTCTATGGTTTTTCCATGGTTAAAATTGTAATAATTTAGGATGCATGTTGAGATCTTTAAATGACGGGTACTAAAGACACTCCAGCTACTTTGATGCTAGCTAATTGAATGTTCTTACCCAATTAGGCCTTTTAACCCTCCGTCAGATTGTTTTGAGCAAAGTTGACCAGGCACTGCATACAAAGCCATCTGTTGACCCAGCAGATGAATATGCTAAATACTGTGTGGAGATTCTAGGAATTCCTGCCACCCCAGGTATGTCCATGTGAAGCTTTTATGTAGCATGTCCAAATGGTTTGATTAAACATGCCTTTCTTTCCCAGTAATGCTTGGCATACAAAACCCCTGAGTTGTTTATAAAAGAACCTACTTTATGAAGCTGAAATAATTACTTTGAAACTTGGGGTGAGCTTCTGAAGGAATATTAAAGTAAATATAAAACTTAACCTTTTGCAGGTTATATTTTAGAGTGACATGATGTGAACACCACTTTAGATGTTCTGTCACATCCGTGTTGGATGTGTATCTAGCCTAAAATGGGAAATCAACTTTCCTTTGTAGTCCACAGAATATGGCCAATACTCTGAGGCATATTCAGACCCTTTATGTTAGAAGTTTCAAAGTAGTTGATAAAATTCCTTATTAATTTATTCTTAAAAGTTGAAGTACTGTATACATCAAAGAAATAATTGCATTTGATTTAAATAAATTAATGTTAATGTACTCTTCAAGGAACAAACATACCAGCGACTTTTGGACACCTGGCAGGTGGTTATGATGGTCAGTACTATGGATACCTGTGGAGTGAAGTGTTTTCTGTGGACATTTTTTATAGCTGCTTTAAGCAAGAAGGAATAATGAATCCAAAGGTAGGTAATGAATACTTTTTACCAAAGACTTTTGTTGCACTTTGTCTCTGAAACCACATTTATTGCAATCATGATCCGTAGATATAAAATCTTGAAGTTCTACTTCTGTACCTGTCAAGTTCAGATCAACAAAAAAAAGGTGTATATATAATTACTTTAGAAAATAATCTTAAAATTTCCAACAGCACTTGGATTTTAATACAATTCTTACATAGTCATATATTTAATATTATATTATGACAGTTAGACGTTGTGTCACATTGACTGATGCCTTCCTCTTTAATTTTAGACTGAAAAAACATATTCCTCCATTGCAAGAGCAGATGCATATTCTTCTGCTATGAGAGCTGTATGACAATGGTGCTCTATTTACATTAATAGTACCTCAAGGGTGTGGTACTTTTATGTAGTTATTATTTGGAAAACTGAATTTATTTAGAGCTTTCTCTTAGACAGCACAGCATAACTCACAAATTTTTTCCTCTTTAGCTTTTCTCCCAAGTGGCTTTTGAAGTTCAAATCATTAACAGGTTCTAGATTTACTGGGCTTTTTTTCCCTTGTGTAGTTCTCCAGCCTCTTCTGCCTCCAGTGGGAAGAAAGGATAGTTAGTGATGTGGTTAGTAGTCCTGCCAATTCTGGCAAGCTTTTTTAATTTTTAGAGATTATAGTATTAGACTTGTGAGTCGAGATGCTGCAGTTGTATGATGGGAAAGACCTTTCAGTTTTCCTGATCCTCTTGTCTGTCTTCTGGATTCATCAGCCAGCACTAATTCTTCCCTTTAGTAAATGTATGCAAGAGTGAAGTAAAGGAGAGAGTAGGAAGTCCTTGACTTCCCTGTTCCTCTTCTGGAATTTGCCTTCATACCTCCCTTTCCTTATCACAGCAACCACGACTTCTAGAACTGTCTCTTCCTCTAGAGGGTGGAGAAAGTAAACAAGATTTGACTTTGACCTGGACAAAGAGAGGAGTCCAAAGAGGAGATGGGGTAGGGGCTAGAAAACTGAGGCAGTGGTTAGGCCAATAAAACCCAAAAGGGGTTTTATGAAGAAAAGCAGCAAACTGAATAGTTTGTGAGGAGAGATGGCGAAAAGTTTGGAGGTCAGGATTGATTTTGAAGTTCTAGGGATTCATGACAGGTACATGTGGGAATAAGCATACCTGCTTATTCAGTGGGTATGTTGCCACTCATAAAGAAGAGCAGAAAAGAAGAAATGGCAAGTTAATTGAGAGAATAAAATAACTTTTTAATAAAATGTTGTTCATATGGATCTTAAAAATGGCATTTGGGGAGGGGTCAGACTTGCTGGGGTTTTTTAACTGTTAGCAGCTGGGAGAAGTGGATAAGGGTGCTGGTGCTGGACTTGTGACACTTTGTGTCTCTCTGTTCTGACACGTGCATACCCTTCCAGCCTCACCACAGACCTTTTTCCTGTTAGCTTTACTCTCTACTCTCAAAACTCTTTTCTGAGTGATTGTAAAGTCAAAACCCTAAGCTACAGTTTGCCAGAATTGCTCTGTGACCTTTACTTCTCCTGAGGGATAAAAGTGCCTTTTGTTCTGATATTTTTTTGGGGGGGAGGGATTTTTGTTTTATTTGTCTCTGTATGGGAGGCATTCAGAATAAATTAATTATGTTAGGAGTGAGTATTTGCCAAGGTCTGGCTAAAAGGCAACTAGTGCCTCTCTCAATGTGAAGCCTGCTATCCAGGCTAAGAATTGAGGAAAAACAATTATTATTTGTGTGTGTGTGTGTCACTCTGTCTCTAGCATATGTGTGCACACACACACTTTGCCTGAATGCTGATATAATTTCAAGGTTAAGTCTGTGGAGATTTCCCCTCCCTCTTCAGAGCAATGCTCTCTTTGCAGTTTGGTTCTCTTTCAGCGTTTTTTCCTTATTTGCATTCCATGTAAGTGTAATAGAGTTCCACAGAATGGGACAAACAATCTTTTATAAACAAATGCTAGATACTAGTATGAATTTTGTAGTTACTCATATTTCATTATATCTACATTTAGACTGGTCTTCCGAATAGCAGGAAAGGAAAACTGTTATGGTATTATGGCTAGGGCTTTTAGAAATTTGGCTTACCTCTTCCTGTTAGAATAAAACCTCTCTTCCTGTTTTGAGCAACAGTTGTAGAAACCATTTGCAGAGACTGTGTCTACAAAATTTCTTCGGCAAGCCCTTAACACTAACTTAATTGGTTGTCACACTCCTCAGTTCTTGCACGTTATCTGAAATAACCTCGGGTCTCTCTAGAACTGAGCAATGTGTTGGCTCTGGAGGGACAACAGCAAAGACTCAAGTCTACTCACATAGCACTTTTAGACTGTAAGGAACTGTGTCTTCATTTGCTGCTGATGTTCAGGAAACTAACAGAAATAGTGAAGTATAAGCAATGCTTCAGTGAATTTTTTATTTTGCATTTTAGGTTTTTCCAACTGTAATTAGGACAATGCAATTGTTAATGTAATTAAGTCATGGAAGTCCATCAGTTAAAAAGACCTACGCTTGTTTTTGCAGTACAGCTATCAGGAAGCTGTGTGGTCCTGTAATCTCGTAACTTTGACGCGTGAGGGAAGTGTATATGTGTATATACACTGACTAAAAGGAAGAACACTGTTTCCTTCAGTATCAGAAGCATCTGGGACATCTGCATGCAAAATCATGTGTTCCCATTGATAGTCATGTCTCAGAAGTCCAAAATTCTCCAGATATACTATCTTTAAAATATATCCTCTTGTTTAAGAAAGTCCTCTTTACTTACTGTTGTTTCAGAAGCTTGGTTCATTCTTTTTAAAGGAATCCGTTCCTTCTGAAGTAATAACATTTCTTCCTGAAAATAAAACCTGAGTTAAATCTCTGTTACTTTAAATACTTTATAATAGGGGAGTTAGATGTGTTTGTATATATTATATTAAGCATATTATATGTGTATATGTGCCATGTCATTCTTCAGTGCTATATCTATCTATCTCTGAACTATCATCTCTGTTCTCCAAACGGAAATTAAAGAGAAATCATCAGTTAAGAGAGAATGGATGTTAGGTTCCCTTTTCCTGCCAGTCAGTCACAGGGATAATCCATCACTGTGTGGAGATTGATTGTGCACATGTTATGCTTTATAGAATGTCTTCCAGACAAGTTGTGATTGTAGCTTCCAAAACAGTGTAAAACCACAAGAAAAACTATTGCTTCAAGAAAAGTTCAATTTTCTGCTATCTTGAGTTCTTCCATCAGATCTAAATTATACTTGTGCTGTATCCTGATTTAGTATTAAGAAAATCTGGAAGGAGGGGAAGGTGTTTAATCATGAGTAGATTTTTAAATATGCAACAAATTCAGAAAAGAGGCAGTTCACAAGATAAGAAATACTAACATTCTGCTTTAACTTTTATCAGGCTGGGATGAAATACAGAAACCTCATTTTGAAACCTGGAGGATCTTTGGATGGAATGGTTATGCTACAAAATTTCTTGGAGCGTAAACCAAGCCAGAGAGCTTTCCTATTGAGTAAGGGATTATGTGTTCAGTAAAATTATGGTTCCTTTGTAATGGCATATAAGTGTGCAATGAGCTGGAAATGTCAGTGCATTTCATATCTTAAATATGTATCACTCTGGGGAAATTGAGTCACTTCTTGATGATTTTTTAAAATTGTATAAATTAAAATGTGATATTTTTTTTTTTTATAATTGCACAGAACTACAAAATTCAACACATCAGGGAAAAAAATTCTGAGATGTGCAGAAGCTGAGGAATTTGGGTGGTAACTTTTTTGTTATGAAATGATACTGATCAATATGGGGATGCACTTAAACTATGTCTTGTGAACAAATTTTAAAACTGGAGGGGGGAAAAAGGGTACTACCAGCAATAAAAGAAACAGATTCATTCTTATTCTGTATTCTTCTATTGTATTGATGGCTCATCAGTGTCTTTGATGGAGAGGAAGTGTGTTTGATTTCATCATGGTTTGGGTTCAGTCTAGCTTCCTGACAAATTTCAAGACTGAGAACCTGCCTCAGACAGCTTTACAGCAGAGATACTTGATACTTTTAGACTTCATTCTGATGCGTATGAGTTCTTGTATAATTTATAAGCTTACACAGTATAACTAAAACGAAAAAAAACCCTACCGTTTGAGCTACCATTTTCTTCCCTTCATTGAAGAAAAACAGCCAAAATCTATGACTTTTTCTTTTTTGTTCATGTTCAGATCAGGTCTTTGTCTTCCAAATTATATCAACACTGGCATGGAAAAGTTATACTTGAGCAATTGTAATGGTTTCAGTTGGTTTGTGAAGTATTTTGAGATATGCATAAGGAAGGAAGGGAGGGAAGAAGATGTCCCCCGTGGGAATGGTAAAAGTCAATCCAAGATTTTCCTATTCCTTTCCAGTGTGGCATGCAGAGGTGCTACAGAAAAGCTTCAATAGATTTAATGATTTCAGCTGTGAGAGTGTGAAAGGAACTGAGGAATTATTTTGCAGCTTTTCTGCAAGATCGGGAAAAATGAGCCTTAAAAGCCAGCTCTACACCACCCAAATAAAACTGCTAAACCAAGTACACTTTTCTTGTCTTTAGATATACCTTACTTTGGTTTTGGTATTACAACACATATATGAAAGAACTTTCATTTTGGTTAATATATTTCAGGTATTTGAACCATAGCTGTAAACACGGTTGGTATTTTCATTTGTTCATTCAGCCACAAAGTAAGAAAATGTACCTGGTCAACTTAGAAGAGTTCCTCTTTTTCTAGCAAAATAAAACTGAAAGCATTCACTTTGGGTCAAATCTATGTGTTTCAGGGGGGATTAGTTTCTGAACTGGAAAGCTTGACAGGACTTATTTTTGAACGACACTAGATACGGATGTAAGGAAACATAAATATTTGTAGCCAGAACATGTTAACTATGTAGTCTTACCAGACCACATAATTAAGCCAATTCTAACTCTCACGGTCAGTTACAGTTTTAGACCCCAGTTCTGCTGGGTCATGTAAAAGGCAATACGTGGCAATCACATATATGAGAACATCTTGAACAATATTCAGAACAGCTATAAAGGAAAGTGGAGGAAACTGATGGATCCAAGATTATCCTAAAATCTATGAATTTCATCCAGATTAATTTCCCTTATTCTGATTGGATTTGGAAGTATTGTCCTTTCTTCTTAAACGTGTTTAAATTCTTGGGATCCTATCTTACCGTTTTTTTCCTTTCACGCTGTAATGATAGCTATGATGAACTAAAATGTTGTAAAACATATACTAAGTGATACTTTCCAAAAATTAATCTGCAAATCTAAGCAATGGAACATTTGTTAAGAAGCAAAATGCAGTTTTTTGTTTTACAGCTGGTAGGCAGATTTCCACATGAGGGAGACCTTCCTCTGCATAAACCAGCGGTCTCAGATCAGGGCAGATAATTGCAAATGTAGTAATTATAAGCAAAAATATGTAAATGATAAAAAGTTATGTGAGGATTTAAAAGTTAGATTTAGGGTAGTACTGATGCTAGTGATGATAACTTAATTAACTTGTTTATTTTCCAGTTCTTTAGAGTATACAGTATATAGTAACTAAGATACTGAAGTACAGGAGAATTTCTGCTATTACATGTATATGAAAATGCCTACATGATTGTACAATGATGTTAGCATCAGCTAACATAATAACATCATCCGTGTGTGTAGGGAGGAGGAAAACCACATTGTGACCACAAATGAAAAGTATTATGTTCTATACCTGTCCCAATGAATAGGATTTTTTTGTACTTTGTTTTTGAGGAGGCCAGTTCCCTCAGTCTGCATCAGGCAGTAATTGAGACAGATCATCTTATGGCTACAACTGCACTCAGCACAGAAGACTAATGGCTATGTTCTGAAGTGCTTCTGAAACTTGTTATGTGGTAACATAGCAAACTTGTCTGCTAGTTTTCATATTGGCTTCATGGACCCTTCTGAATCAAATTGGGGTTGGGCTAGATGCCCTTTAAAGGTCCCTTCCAACCCAAACTATTCTGTGATTCTATGAAATTCATGTTCACATTTCTTATTGTAAAGATCTGATCTTGGAATGGAAAAGATAACCTGGAGAAAGACATCTTTTCTGGTTTTGCAGCTCTCCGTGATAGGCATGAAACTTTGTCTGTATAGGAAACAACTCACTCTGACACTATTCCAAGGCTGTGACATAAAGTCCCCCAAGAAAACAAGGAACACTCCTTCTTTGGAAACATGAGTTAATTGCCTTGACACTGCACAGAAACAATCACACACATTCAAACATGCCAGGAGGTAGGTATCTGGCAAAGCCCAGCCTATTCTAGCATTGCTAGACTGATGCTTCCACTGAGTAAAATTTCAAAATAGTGAAAACCTGTCCTTATTCCAACCCAAATTAAGCATTCATTGTAATAAATAAAAAAGTAACTTGTAATCTTAGTTTACAATAAACAGCTGCCTTTTCAAGTTAGTAATGCATCTTTTTAGAATTTCATTGTATTTAGGTTTAATTTTTTTCCTCTGTCAGAAATTCAAACTGGACTTTGGCTGGCTTCACAACAAAAGCTTTCAAATGGAAGGAAAGGGTAAAACAGGAGACTCGGGAGAGAGTGGTGGTAACCACTCAGTAAGTGGATAATAGGCAGTGGCTTTCTCATTCTACTGCTTCACTGCAAAAGACGGAACGGGTTTGGCCATGCAGCTGGGTCGCAAGATGGCTAGGTGGTCAAACCTAAATGGTAAAAGCAGTCTGAAGAAAAAGTTTAAACTTTGATCTCTGAGCTGGGGTGGCTATCAGTTGTTATGCTGACTTAATAAGGAGAGCATTAAGACGTAGGGAATTCATGCTTGTAGAGAAAGGTGGAGTACTGACTGTCACGAGCTTCTAGTACTACTACAGCTGGTTTTCCTATACAAGTAGGTCTCTGTTATATGTTATTATTGATACAACAGCATTGCAGAAGAAAAAAGTCCTCATTTTAATCAGTAATCAGGGTCAGTGAACTGCTGACCTTTTTTTACAAACTTTGTTAACCCTGTTTCAACAGATAATCAGGGAGCAGCTCATTCTAATGGCTGTAGTCATTTGGTATGGGAGAAGTAAAATTACTGCAACAAGAAGTGAATCACAAGGTCAGGATCTCAGCTTCCTCTCTGAAAAATGAAACAATTTCCAAATACCTTCAGAGGTAGTGGGGGGTAGAGTTAAATGGAGACTCCTGGAGGGGTTTTCCAGAAGTGTAGTTCTGGTTGCATAGCAAGTCGTTACTGGCAGGGGTTAGAGAGGCTAGACATCAGGAGGTTATGTGGTAGCCCAAGTCAAAGGAAGAGGAAGGAATGCAGTAGGTGGAAGGATGATGTAGGAGAAGGGTGTTTTGAGAATAGTTGTGGAAGGGTTGGAGTGGTTGTCAGAGGCAGATAGCAGGAAAAAGACAGCTTAATGAATACTGATTTATGAAAGGCTACTGAATGCTTTTCATTGTTTTATGAATTAGAAACAAGACATGCTTCTCTATGAATAGATTTCTTATCTTTTTATTTGCATGCCAAAGAACATGAGATTATGCACCAGCTTGTTGCTTCAGTACTTGTGCTTCTTCCTGACATCTGGAAATTAATTTTTGTTTCACCACTATTTTCTTGATGAATATATTTTAAATAATAATTTCCCATGGTGGAAGGAAAAAAGTGCAATGTTATGGGGGAAGTTCAGTTTGTGGGCCCTGTGCTGGAAATCCTGTACAGCTAATCATCATTAGTCATTGTAAAAATTGTAGATGATACAAAAGACATGGTACCAAACAACAATCAATCTATTTTAGACCCAATTAGGATAGATAAAGACAAATTAATTAAATGAATTGGAAGTTAGTGGTTGCCTAGAAACCAATAATCATGACCTAATTTTGTTCGGTATTGATTAACAGAGGATAGACTCAACCAATACTTGGTTGCATTATACTCCTGATGAATTAAAAATGCTAAGGATATCAGTGCTAACAGAAACAATGCGTAAAATTATTGAAAGAAAAATTGTGAATGGGAAGTGGTATGTCTTTAAAATTCAATTGGCCAAGATCCCACAATGTCACAACTTAAAAATTTTTGAGAACGATTCTGACTAAGAAACAATCTGTTCACCAATAAAAACAGCAATTTAAAATAAACAAAACAGGAGTGGTGGGTCAGGAGTAGGAAATAGTTACAAAATGAGGAATTGTAAAGTGTTAAAAATTATAAAGAAGGCTAAGACTGCCAAGGAAAAAAAACATGGATACAATGATTGTAGCCAATAAGATGTATAACTTAATATATTAAGAACTAATAAATCCCATTTGTGTTGCAGACCCTTTAGTAGATGTAAATGCTAATATTGCAAATGACAAAAAAAAAGACAATTTATAAATTACTGTTTCTCTTCTGCATTTAGAAAGAAGCAACGTGATATAGTCATGTCGTGTGAGAACAATGGGGTACTTTCCAGTCCATTATTAAGTGAGGAGGATATTAAGCAATATGCACTAAAAATAAACATTTTTACATGAATAGGATTGAATAACTTGCACTCTACAAATCTACAAGAATTGGCAGTGGGGAGGGTTTTCCCAGAGCTGTTCATCTTGGGATACCGGGCATATGCCATTGTACTAGAACACTGCTAATGAGTTCCAG